GCGTGTGCGTGTGTGTGTGTGTGTGTGCGTTTGCGTGTGCGTGCGTGCGTGTGCGAGGGCGAGTCCGTGTGCGTGTGCGAGTGCGAGTGCGTGTGCGTGTGCGTGTGCGTGTGCGTGTGCGTGTGCGTGTGGGTGTGGGTGTGGGTGTGGGTGTGGGTGTGGGTGTGGGTGTGGGTGTGGGTGTGGGTGAGTGGGTGTGTGGGTGTGTGGGTGTGTGGGTGTGTGTGTGCGTGTGTGTGTGTGCGTGCGTTTGCGTGCGTGCGCGTGCGTGCGTGCGTGCGTGCGTGCGTGACACTGTTCGGCCTCCTGGGGCCATCGCCAGGCCCCAGGAGCGTCAAAAAACTCCTCGGGATGAAAAGCCGGCCCCGGGGAGTCCAATACCTCTGAGGGTCCACGTCGTAAACAAACTATGACGTCGGGGTCTGGGGTGAGCTGTGGTGCGCGGCTTTAGGTGGCCGCGGGGGAGCCAGTCCGGGGGGCCCGCACCAAAGGTCCCTTTGGCGCAGGGTCACTCTTGAGCGTAGCAGGGCCACACGTAGATTCGCCGACGGATTCTGGCCAGCGCCCCCCACGGGGAGGTCCCAAGAGTCACCGCCGCCAGCGTCCTCGTCGAGGGTCAAGGAGGTGAGAGGATCGGCCATCGAGGGTCGAGGGCAGATTTTGCATTGCGATTTATTGTTCAGTATCTGGCCTTCTGCAGCCTGAGTAAGCGACCCTCCTTCATCATTCCATGTCCTCCCTCTCCGCCTCTTCATATACCCCTCCTGACTTGCTCCTCCTTCTCCCTTCTCCTCCTACTCCTTTTCCTCTCCTCCTCTCCTCGTCTGCCCCCCCCTCTCTCTCCTTTTCCTCCTCCTCCTCTCCTGCTCCCTCGCCTCCTCTCCTGACTCGCCCTTGCCATTTCCGATTCCCCTCCCCGTCCTCGACCTCGTCCTCGTCTCCTCGTCACCCCGTCACCACTGCCTGTGGGGGGGGGGGGGCGAGGCGAGGCCCGAGGGCGAGGAGGAGAGGGCGGGGGCGCCTGCACGAGCAGGACCCGGGTGAGCGCGCGGGACAGTCGGGGGGAAGGAAAGGGGGGGTAGGAAACGAAAGGGGGGAACGAAAGGGGGGAACGAAAGGAGGAGAGGGCGGGGCGCCTGCACGAGCAGGGCCCGGGTGAGCGTGCGGGACAGTCGGGGGGAACGAAAGGGGGGGGGGGGGGATATAGGAAAGGGCAGGGCAGGGACTCAGCTCACGCAGCTCTGAGTTTCCCAGCGCCTCCCGCCGCCGGGAGGCGCCCGTGCATCGAGGAGTGGGCCCGGCGGCGGGGACGAAGCCAGCTGCATGCAGCAGATTTCGTACCCCTCCCCTTTCCCCATCCCCCCGCTTTCGTTCGGCCCGAGACAGGCGCACCGAGCACTGCGCACGTCGGAGAGCAGAGCAAGTGCCAGCGCCACGCTGGTAGGACGATTCCCATCAGCGCGCTGCTGCTGATCAGCCACGCTTGTGCATAAAAGAACGGGGTAGTGAGTGCAACGCGTAAAAGCTTCAAAGACGACGCGCGTGTCACTATGGTACTCTGTACCTCTCGCGAGCAGGGAGAGGGAGGGCGGCAGGAGCAAAGGGAGGACCAGGAGGCTTGGGGGAGCGGGAGCAGAAGGTGGAGCAGTAGCAAAAAGTGAGCAGGACGAAGACGATGTGGAGGACGACGACGGCGACGACAGCGACGACCGCGACGACGACTGCGACGGCAACGCCGACGACGGCGGCGACGGCGGCCACGACGACGACGCGACTGCGATGGCAACGCTGACGACGACGACCGCGACCGCGACCGCGACGACGACAACGACCGCGACTGCGACGGCGAGGCCGACGCTGCAAAGACGACGACGACGAGCCACCGCTCGAGCGCCGACGAGGGCCGCTCGCCTCGCCCTGCCCGGCGAGCACGCCACGCAGCTCCGCGGCGGCCAGCCCCCACATGTTGCCAGCCAGGTCCGCCTCGGCTGCGGCAAAAGGGCGGCGGCGACGGCGGGGACGGCGGCAGCGGCAACTGCGGCGGGCACCACGGTGGAGGGCGCCGACGGCGCACGACGGCAGCGGCGGCGGCGACGGCGGCAACGGCGGCTGCGGCGGCGACGACGAGGACGGCGACGACCTCGGCGGCGACGGCGGCGACGGCGGCGGCGGCGAAGGTGGCGACGACTAGGACGGCGATGACCTCGGCGGCGACAGCGGCATCGGCGGCGACGGCGGCGGCGGCGGAGGCGGTGACAGCGGCGAGAGGGAAGACGGGGACGTCAGCGGCGGCGAAAACGGCGACGGCGCTCCTCTGAGGCCAGATCACAAATCTTGCCTAATCGATTTCTCTTTGGGGGTAAGGGGGGGGCGTTACAGGCTCCAAGACCGTCAAAATCGCTCCCGGCGTGGACCCTGGGAGAGGTCCCGCGACCCACATTGAGCAGATTTGGGGCCGGAGGTCCATTGGTCTTGGGACCTCGGAGGCACCGGTCGCCCGAGACATCGTCGGCGGAGAACGATCCGAGTCCCGAGCCCGTGCCATGACGACGAATCCCCACAGACTCACCACGCGGTGTGGTCCCGGGCCTCGCTCGATCCCCTTCCCCAGGGGCTGCCCCCTCGATCCCTGGACGACTGCTCCTGCTGGCCTAGGCCCTGGAAAAGCGGGCAAATGGAATATCCATATCCAGCTCGCCTAGGAACTTCTTGAAGGGGCGCCACAAGCCCAAGGCGCACTGGATATGGATAAACATCGAGCCTCTGCGGGCCTGATTTTTCTCCATATCCAGTGTGCCTCGGGATTCTGGGGAAGGGAGCCCGAAACTCACAAAATCCAGTGGATATGGACACAAGTCTGGCCCGCAGGAACGGCCGCTGGTCGCTGAAAGCTGAGTCTATGTTATTTCGAACGATCCCCAGAGGCGATCGCCAAGCGGCGTTGGGTGAGTTTTCATGGGGACCCCTGTGGACCTCCCCAGCCATATCGCCATATCATACCCGTGATGTCGACCGGACTGCGTTCAGGTCTCGGCCGCTCCTCTTCACCCTTCAGGAGGGAAAAAAACACACCGACACAATTAATCCTCGATTCCCAGAAAATATGGAAAAATATGGGAAGTGGGGGCGAAGACAAAAAAACAGAAAATATGGGAAAATATTGGGGATATGTTTATTTGTGTGTATTTATTTGTATGTCCTGGGGCCCCTTCAACCCTTTCGTCCAGAAATCTCAGCGTCAACTCAAAGAAAACTTAAAAACAAAATCCCCAAACCGCGAAGAATTTCGAGACACCGCGAGGCTCCAGCGAAGGACCACACAACAGGCGGAATAATTACCCCGTGACCACCGGGCCCCTTTGGGCCTGGCGGCCGCGGTATGCACTCGTCCTTTGTCGAGGGCGCGCGGCGGGAAGCCCGGCCAACACCAGGACCCTTGGAGTCTGGCGGCCGCGGTGTGTACGGTGTGCCTGGCTCCCCCCCTTCCTTTCCCCCTCCCCGTGCCGCAGGGCTCCTTCGCGCTTGTAAAAAAGTGTAGGGTGTGCCTGGCAGGTCGGGAGCTCTCTCTTCTTTCAGCCCAACGGCCCTAACCTGCCGGGTGGGGGGACTTTCGCCCCAACTTTTGTCCAAAACGTTGGTTCGCATAGAGGCACGGGTCCTCAGGGAAACGGGTCCTGGACCCTGGCGCCTGCCCCCAGGACGAGCTCTTCATCCTGAATCGTTTGCCGACAGGCCGGTGGCCCATGGAGGGCCCCGAGAGCCCGAAACGGCGAAAAACCTCGAGACACGTTTCCCTCAGGACCCGCTTCCCCCATGGCAGGAGACGCTGGAGATCAGGGCCACACTCGCTGCTGCGTCGGGGCGGCCGGGCGGGCCCCCTCGCAGCGGCTGCGAGAGCCGGGCGGCTGGCCGCGCGACGGGCGCGCGCGCGCGCGCCGCCCGCCTTGCCAGCGGCCGCCAGGCCGTCCCCGAGGAGGGCGCGCAGGGGCGCCGCAGCCTCCGCGGGGGGCGGGGGCGGGGGCGGCGACGACCGAGGCGTCGGCGGCGGCATGGGCGACCACGACGGCGACAGCGGTGGCGGCCGCGGCATGGACGAGGGCAGCGAAGGAGCGGCGAGGTGCCAAGGGGCGAAGAGGACGCGGAGGGACGACGAAAAGGAAAAGGAAGAGGAGGAGGAGGAGGAGGAGGAGGAACGAAGACGACGGCAAATAGGGGTGAGGAGGGGGGGGAGAGCGGTGCTGACACGTCGAGACCTCGGCGGCGCTCCTCCTTTCCTGCCACAGGCGGACTCAGCAAGTACCCTGAACCGCGCCGCCGCCCCGCGCACCTAGCCAGGCGCACCGCGGGCGAAAGGCATGGGAGCCCCCCGACCTCCGGGAGACCCAGTTTCCAGTTCCTCGTTACATCCCGAAACTCACCATGGGGAAAATAGGAATCCGCCCCGCTGAAGGCCAATTGATGCATTCTTCCCGCGGGGGCCTCGTAATTCAGGCGTTGGACCTTAGCAGCTGCGCACGTGGCCCTCGCAGCTCTGGTATTGGCTATCGTAGCCAAGCCGGTGGACCTTGTAATCCAATTGGTGGGCCCTCGTAGCCCTCGTAGCTCAACTGGTGGCCCGAGTGGCCCCGGTCGTGGCCCTCGTAGTTCGGATGGTGGTCCTGGTAGCTCAGCCCGTGGTCCTCGTAGCCCTGCATGTGGCCCTGGTAGCTCAGCCGGTGGACCTCATAGCTTAACTTGTGGTGTCCTCAGGAAGAAGTTGCGGGAGACAATATCCTCCAAGCCGTCGGTTCGACCCGCGCAGTTTCAACACCGTGCGCTCGAAGTACTCCCTGTCGAACTTGCCCTCCACCGTAGGTCCGATAGTTAGCGATCGTTTTTAAATTGTCCGAGCTTTCACGTGGACCTTCATGTTCGTCTCGTGGCCCTCGTGATACAGCGGCTGGTCCTGGTAGGTCAGCTGGTGGTCCTCGCATCCCTGCATGTAGCTCAGCTCGCGGGGGTAACACCGTAACTGGTGGCCCTCGCTGCTGCCGGCTGTCGTAGAACAGCGTGTGGCCCTGCTATATCTTCTCGTGGTCCTCGTGACTCTGCGCGCGGCCTTTTATAGCGCAGCTTGGAGCTCAGGTGGTGGCTCTCGTAATCGAGCCAGTTGCTTTCGTAGCTCTGCAGGTGGCTCTGGGAGCTCTGCATGTGGCCACTGTAGATCAATATGTGGCCCACGCAGCTCTTCTGGGAACTCTCGTAGCCGAGTCCGTGACCCTGGGGGCGCTGCTTGCTGCCCTGAAAGTGTAGGTTGGGGCACTCGTACATAAGCAGGTAGTCCTCGTTGCTCACAAGGTGGCCCTCGTAGCTCAACTATTGGCTATAATCGGTATGCATGCCTGCGCCCCCCCTCGTAGCTCAGCTCGCGGCCCTCCTCTGAGCTCAGCTTGTTGCCCCCGTCGCTCTGTAGGTTGCCCGAATGGCTGTGGCAGTGTCTCCTGGCTCAGAAGGTGGTAGCTGAGCTGGTGGCCCCCGCAGCCGTCGTAGCTCAGCTGGTTGCTCTTGCAGCTCAGTCTGTGGCCCTCGTAACCGCGCGAACGGCAGTGGTAGCTTAGCTGGTGGTCAACGTAGCCCTCACTGTGGCACTCGTAGCTTAGCCGGTGGCCCTCGCAGCTGAGCCGGCGGCACTCGCAGCTGAGCCGGCGGCCCCCGTAGCTCCGCTTGTGGCCCTCGTAGCTCAGCAGGTTGCCCTGGTAGCTTTGCTGGTGTTTCTCGTAGCTCCGCTTGTGGCCCTCGTAGCTCAACTCGTGGTCCTCGTAGCTCATCTGGTAGCTCTCGTCGTCGTTCAGCTAGTGGCCCTTTGTACTGTGCTGGTGGCCCGCGTCGCTCTGTTGGTGGGCTGAGTAGCTCTGCTGGTAGCTATGGTAGCTGTGCCAGTTGTCCTCGGTTGCCCTCGTAGAGCCGCGGTTGTTCTTCCTCGCTCTGCGTGTTGCCCGTGAAATTCTGCGCGTAGCCGTCGTGGCTCTGCGGTTGGTCCAAGTAGCTCTGCTGGTCGCCGTGAGGCTCTGCTAGAGGCCATTGCCGCTCTGCCTGTGGATCCCAAAGCTTGGCTGGTAACCCTGGTAGCTCTCATTTTGACCGACACAGCTGTGTTGGTTGCCCTCGTAGCGCTGCGAATGACTTGCGTAGCTCTGCTGGTGGTCTTCGTAGCTCTGCAAGTCGCCCTCCAAGCCCTGGCGGTGGCCCGCGAAGCGCCGTCGCAGCTGCGCTGGTGGCCCTCGTATGTCGGCGAGTGGTCCTCGTAGTTCTGCATATAACCCCTTCTTCTGTTCGTCCCCGCAGTCCACGTCGGAGTCGTCGGCTGCCAGGTCGTAGCGCTCCGGTTCCAGGTGCCCTCGTAGCAGCATTCGTCGTCCTGCTACTCGCGATCATTTTCGTAGTAGCATGCGTCGACCTTCTCCTCTGGGTGACTTGTCTCAGTGCTGTCAGCAACGATCGGAGCAAAGGCTGCCAGCACGACCTGGTCCACATGATTCTGGCACCATCCCAGGCCGCACCTCCAATCGTACCACTCACGCAACTGCACCTCGCCTAAGAGCTGTCGTTGCAACCGCAGCTGCTCCATGCCCCCACGCTGCGCCGCCAACTGGCAGGCCTTCCTGGCATGCCGTGGGCCACGACCTGGTGCTCGTTGCACACGTTGTGGGCCGGTGGCTGCGCGAGCCACGATGGCTCGCCTTGCCACGCCCGCGCCTTCACATCGGCTGCTCGGGCGTCGCGAAGCAGTGGCCCGCTGGCACAGGCCCACCCCCCTCGGAAGCGGCGCGCGCGGGGGGGGCACGGAGTCGCGGGGCGAGGGCGGGGGTTGGATCCCGCATACGGCCTCGGCGCTCCTCGTCGTCGTCCTCCTCCTCCTCCTTCTCCTCCTCCTCCTCCTCCTCCTCCTCCTCCTCCTCCACGCTTCCTCCTCCTCCTCCTCCTCCTCGTCCTCCTCCTCCTTCCCAGGCAAGGGGGTGACGACGAGGTGGGGCGTGTGGGGGGAGGGGATGATGATGAGGAGGGGCGAGGAGGGCAAAGGATGAGAAGGTGGAGGAGGAAGGACTACGAGAAAGGCGAGGGAGGGCCAAGGTGGAGACAGAGCGAGGGGTCACGACGACAAGGAGGGAGGAGGAGATGGGTGAAGAGAGATGAAAGATGGTGATGACGACGATGACGAGGTTAGAGAAGAAGGGGAACGGGAGGGAGGGAGAACGGCGGCAAAGAGGGCAGAGGGAAGAATGCAAAGAGGAGGGCGACAAGAATGACGAGGGAGCAGAAGGGGGAAGGGGAGAAGACATGTGGTTGATCAAAGGTTTGAATAGGGGGAGCAGAGGGTAGGTGAGGAGGAGAACGATGAAAGCGCCGATGATGGGAGAGGAGAGAGATAAGAACGGGTCTGAGGAGGGGTGACCAGCGTCGGAATCGAATGGGGATGAGGAGGAGGAGGAGGAGGAGGAGAAGGAGAAGGAGGAGAACGACGACGACAACCTGGAGGGAGGAAGCGGGGGGGACGATGGGGTGAAATGAGAAGGACGAGAAAGGCCAGGAGGAGAACGACAACAGCGAGGGATGAGGAAGGAGGGATACATTAGAGGTGGTGGACGAAGGTAAAGGAGGAGGCCGACGAGGGGGCATGGGTTTGGTGTCCTACCAATCCTACCTCGTCCTCGTCGTCGTCGCCCCCCCCACACACACACCACAAATGATCCCCCGTCCTCCCTTCTCCTTCCTCGTCGTCTTCCTCTTCTTCCGATCCTTTCTCATCGTGTTCCTCCTTCTCCTCCTCCCCGTCACCTCATCCTCCCGCGTCGTCCGGCCACCCCGTTCCCTCCAGGGAAAGACGGAGGAGGTGGAGCGGATTGGAGCGGAGCGGCGCCGATGTTGCCCAGAGGGCGTCGCGTGTAGGAAGCGGGTGCGCGGGCGCTCCTCAGTTAGATCTGCGAACGTAAATACATCGATTTCATCTTCTTCCACAGCTCGAAATACCAGGCAAGCATTTCCAAATCCCCTATCTGTATGACCCCTTCGCACTGTAGGACAGATGTCGTCGAACCATCGCATCCAAGGCCGTTGCGGCAGCCTCCTCAGCGCTCCGTGCCGTGGTCCGAAGGCGACGCTAAACATATGTTCTAACTGTCAATTGCCCCGTCGAGACCGGCACGGAAGTCATCGGTGAAGCGGAGCCCCTTGCTTGCATCAGGAGCACCCACATTCACTTTCTGACTGAGCCGCCCCGTTCAACTCTCGGCTACACGCAAGGGTGACCCTGGGTAAGAGTGACCTTTGGTGCGCGGGTTTTTGGGGGCCCCGTGGGGGCCAAACCTGCGCGCGCAAGCCGCTGCTCCTGCTTCGCTTTCAGCCATCTGGGGACCCATCCGTGCCCGCACCAAAGGCCACTCCGGCGAAAGGTCACTCTTACGTCCAGTCGAAACTCTCCCTCCCACGTCTGACCGCGGCCCGCGGCACGACCCCCGCCCCGGGCCCGAGTGCCCAGGCGCCCGGCGAGCGGGCGCGGCACCGCCCCTTCGCGGGGCACAAACAGCTCCCCCCATCCTGGTTCTCAAGATGTTGCCGTCAAGGGTGTTCTGGTTCTCAAGATGTCTCGACGGATTCCCTTCACGGGCCCGTGACAAGTCCTCAACGGGGGCCCTCAACGGAGCGGGGCGGCGGCGGCTGCTCAGACGCCCTCAACGGGGGCGCCCGTGCTCCCAGGGGGGGGGGGGCCGGGAGAGGGCAATGGGGGAGGGAGTGCTGGCGAGGTCGCCCACAGGCAAGGACGTCGAGCAAGGGGAAGGAGGGCAGGCTCGAATTCGAACTGCCCTTTGCGACGGCCATAGGCGCAAAGACAAACGCCGCCCCTAAACAAATTCACACGACACATGAAAAAAAACCTGGCGAAGGAGCCAACCATATGCAGTTGTGAGCACCGTCGTTGTATGCACCGCATTCGGAGAAGCTCCCTATGGGGCCACGAAG